ACACACACACACACACACACACACACACACACACACACACACACACAAAACGTACACGTACTGTATATCTATCTGTCTCTCCCTTTCCACCTCTCATCCCTCTCTCCGTCTGTCTTGAGTGCCTCTGTGACTAACACGCGCGAAAGCGCAGGCGCGAGAGAGTGCCGCGTACGTACACAAGGAACGCGGACGCGGTCGAGAGAGATTCGTGGCTCGTCTGTGCGAACGCGAGCGTGTGTTGATTCTGCGGCGTATCACCCGCGCTTTTTCGCGTGTGCACGTACGCCGCGTGACAACGTTCGCACGCCTCCACGGCTTTTCCACGTATGACTGCGATGACCGAGTGCGACCGCACTTGGAAATAACTGCGGTGCCCGTATTGGATGTCGACCACCTCGACGCTTCTTTTTCATCACCAGGAACCGTGTTTTGGAGTTTAAGGGGAGATTAAAGTTGTCTTGTGGCATCCACGACGAGAACCAGTACGATGAGTAAGTAGGAATTTTCCTCCCCAATTTTTCTCAAAGATCTTCAGACTTCAAACAAAACGTCACCAAAAGGTCAGACCTAAAAGAGAAATTCAAATTATTCGTATAATTGTTTACGAGCTCCCGAGTTTGGTTATATGAATAACGTTTCGCGACTCCCGCATTTTAATCCCATTATCGCGATGAGCGCGTGACTTCGTGGGCGGATGGATTCTGACATTTTTGCACCGATTAGCGGCAGCTCGTTAACCGAGTGAGCCGAGGATTATGTTTACCTCTATCAAAGACGGATATACGCGAGGTCCGCGATGAAAAGGAAGGTAGCCACCTACTTAGACGACCTACTTCCACGGGACTGATCCGAGCGAGCACGACGGGTATCCGACGAACAGGCTGACGTCACAGCAGCCAACCGACGGCGCACCAGCTGATCTAATGTAACCATTCGATGGGTGAATGCCATGTGAAATTCCGCTGCGCGAACCCGCGTGTTATTATCGTATATCGCGCGGGCAGTCGTAACGGTTTCATCGGCTCTTCGTTCGGTACTCGTCGAAATACTCGAGGCATTTCATTCACGTTCTGCCTTTTACTCTGTTTGGTTGGAGGCACAGTTTCGGTAGAGACCCGAGAAAATTGAAGAAGATGAGACGTTAACACGTTGATTGCTAGGTTAAAACTCGTGAAAGTTTCTACGAAGTTAAAATTTCGTCTCGAGACTGTTGAAGATCAAATAACTCAACGTTTGGGTAGGATTCGTGAGTTTCCAAGATGGCACACGAAGTATAATTACGTAGTTTGCCATTGTACAGAAGCAAGATTTTAGTCTCTTTAAAATTTCAGGTTTTTTTATCGGTACAATGTTCAACTTTGATTTTCGGAGTCGAATGTGCCGTGATGTGCAAAGTACGTGCGCGTCGTCAGGCAACGACGTCATCGTCGTATTTAGCATTCATCAAGTTGACGATTCATAATTTGAGGGCACTCGTTCGCCATTTTCCGTGTCAGTTCCGACAATTAACCACCCATTTCTTCGTCAAGCTCGACCAGGTTTTTCATTACTATGATAATAGCTCCTGGATAATTTGAGCGTACTTGGAAGTTTGTTAATCTTCAATTTTTTGACTCGTTCTTAATACATGGGGGTTCGTTGATGGTCATAGTTCGAGGTTAGTTTGGAGGGTATAAGTGACCCAAACGTACTTAACGTAATTGGCCTTATCCAACCTTGGTTTGAAACAAGGTAGAACTAAATATTTAACTATGTAATACATTATCGTGACACGAAGAGTACTCGTAGGTAGGATGTTCGAAGCACTTAAGGGACCTGGTTACTGGTCAATCCATAACAATTAGCCGAACAGTAGAGACGAAAGAAGCCCTGCATGTTTGATGCTGCAACTACTTCGCCACTTGTTCGGAGCGCCACACTTTGAGCAGAGATATCTGAAAATATGGCAAGAGTAGGAGCTTTTTCAATAGTCCGAGTAGTAAATGTACGACTTTACCGTGCATTAGATATACACGGGGATATTCCGTTTCTATTATCGGCACGCGTTGAACGAATGTTTGCAGAGAGCAGGGCACAAGGTCACGGTCTTTCCCTGCTGACTCATCTCACATCCGCCATCCCGATCTTTTCCCTCTTTTCTCGTTCTCCCTATCGTCTCCTACGCGTTCCTGTCCGTGTCATTTTACCAGATGTTTCCTACCGTCGTGTGCGAGCGCCACCCGTTTCCCGTCTTTCTTTTCAGGAGCGAAGCGTTCGTTTCGTCGTTCTCCCTAAACTGTTCATTATGCCCGCCGCTGTAATGATACACCACTTCGCAAAATTGCTGATGTTCCTAGAAACCGAGTCGTCTCTCGCGACTATACAGGTATCCGGGAGTAAGCATAGCCTGAACGACGGTAGTTTATCTAAACTCATTCGAAATTAATTTCTCTTCGCTGAGATTTTGAACTTTTTTCCCCCCATTCGAAACTGTACGTTTCGTGTATAGCTTCTCTGGCTTTCCACGCCCTTGTGTACCAAGTAAATTTAAAATAAATTCTGTGAAAATTCGCTTTGGACTAATGGACTATGCGGTTCAGGATTAAGATACTAAAATCTACGTTCGAACAGTATTGGGAAAAAAAAAACTGTAAAGGGAGGGAAGTGTAATTTTCAGTATATTCAAACAGAGGGAGGGACGAGGAATCTGTCATTGCCAGAGCATTACGGGGGCTGGAGCAATTCATTTGATAGCACGCGACAAACGCAGTCTGTTGAAAAGCATTTTGGCGCGACCGCCGAAGAGATCCCGAAAATCAAAGAGACGAGATGGAAGAGGACACTGACGCGCTCATATCTTTCCGCACGCTCCCCTCTCTCGTGTGACGTCCGCCCCGGGTTTTGCGGCGGCTCTGAATATTTGATTTACAAGCAGATATACGAGAGCGCAGAAAACCAACGCGGACGGAAATATAAAAACGTCTGTCTGTCTGGGTCCAAGGGCTTTTAAGGAAATTGAAAGCGTCGGTGTTGTTTGTTTCACGGATCTGCACGGCCGCGACTTATCGCCAGTTAAATTCGCGGTCAATGAAGCGGGACGTCATTGTCGTTCTGCGGTTACACAAAGACTGCACGCAATTGCGCGCCACATAAAATTACTCCGTTATTCGCGCCCAACGACCGCGATGCATGGTCCCTGGCATATTTTCAACCCTTAGTGAGTGGAAATTTTTGAAGGATACATGGTTTCCTAGATTTTTTTAATTGGCAATTAATGAGCTTAAGTACAGTAAAAATAAGTTTCAGTCGTCGGACAATTTACTCGAGCTACTTTTAGGAAACTGTGCAAGTCTGGATTAAGACAATAAATCTACTCTGCACAGTGTTCAATTGAATTGAATAATTGATATTCCTACCTTTGGGAAAGGTTTGTCGATATCAGTGCTGTTTCAGTGATTTCGAGGCAGGGTGTTCAATCATTCGAAATTCGATGAAAATTGAAAATAAATTGAATACGGGTATCGGATTGGTTAACTGGTCGGGAGTTGGGTGAAGTTGGAGTAGTTTGATGAGCTCGGTTACAGAATTCAACGGTTCGATTAACGAAGTTCGAAACGTTTCCAGTTAGAAGTTTCTGGGTGTTGTGCTCTAGCTCCAATTTCTCCCCGTAAAGGTGTTCTTCGAGGCAGGTAGAAATCAGGGGCGTGAGAACGCCAGCTGCGATGCTTTCGATTGTCCAAATTTTGCGTACACCCTGAAAGCCCGATGTTTAGGTATGCAGGTATGCACGTGTTCTCAATTTCGTGACACCTGGAGCCCGCAGTGTCCGAGGTTGGAGCATTCTTGTTGATTTACGACTGGTAAATCGCTATTCAGTAACGCGAAAGGGAATCCCTTGCAGTCCTTCAAATCGAAACTAGAATTTGAACATCATTCGTACCTGGATACCTGGATTGTACAATACCGAGGCAGACTGGGATGCGAATTCTAAATCTAGGAAATAGCGAACAGGTCACGTTTTGATGGTAAATCTTCCAGACGGCTCTTGTTTGCACATTTTTCAGGAATAGAATAAACTGTAACCAAAATTTAATCACGCTAGAAATTACAAGTACCATGAAATCTAGTAAAAATTCGACTGTACACACAAGTCAACGAAATCTAGATCTAAATCCGGACTGCTGCGCAATAAAATGTTAATTGGTGCTAAAGGGTGTTAATTTCTGTTGCAGAAGCATCGGAACGGTAGAGGAGGGCTCGGTGACCACGAGCGTGACGGTCGCCGAGGTTGCTGATTCGCTAGAGCAACAGCAACCGCAATCGAAGAGCAACGGCGCGATATCTCGCCGTGTTGCTGGTCAGAACGTTGCTCTGAGCAACGGCAACAGCACCAGCAACGTCGGCCGCGTAACGCCGCGTAGCCACATGGAGCAAGAGAAGAGAATGCGGCGAGAAATCGCCAACAGTAATGAACGACGTCGTATGCAAAGTATTAACGCCGGTTTCCAGTCGCTGAGGACGTTGCTGCCGCATCACGAGGGCGAGAAACTGTCTAAGGTAAGTGCCTCGTCGTTCATCCTTCTCCTATCGATTCATTTGCGGAATCACCTGTACTCTGGAGACGAGCAATATTTCATTCGGTTTATTAGTGTCTGTGATGCTCCAATTACTTCTAAATACGTTGCTAGTTGAAGCGTTAACAAGTCTCCAGAAATCTACGTTCTTTTCCTGTACTAATTTCACCAACGAGTGTATCTTTTCACTTGAAATTTTTTCACTTGAAATTTTACTCGTCTTCAGTGTTTCAACTACCTATAATAAAAACGTCTTTGGCATGCGACGATATTCCTGTGACACGAAACACTCGACGAAATGGAACTCTTATGATGTATGACGAACCAATGGGAACACATTTAGGGTTTTTGTTTTGCACCATAAAGGAATACGGAGTCTCTATAAAGACTCGTTCGAAACTGAACGTAGTAGAGTTTCTAGACGCTTGTCTATGAAAAGCATATCTGTAGCGCTTCCTCCAATAAGTTACCTGTGCTGGAGGAAGAATAAATCCTCGGCTTGATCACCATTCTCCTTTCGGCTTCCATCATCGCGTCGCTCGATTGACCCTTCGAGTTTGGAGCACCTGTACATAGCCTCCCTGAAGCTTGTAAATAGTTGAGGAATATTTCGAATTCGAAGGGTTGATTTATTCAACGGATGCAGTCATTATCCATTTAGTCACACATTTGCACGTACGGAGAGAACAGGATGTCGCATTTTATTTACGGAATTTCTCTCCAGTAAGATTTCGTAGTACGATTATTTTTATTTTCATTTGCAGCATTCTTTTCCTCGATCCGATCGGAAATTTTCATACGTTTATATACTTGTGCAAAGTGTGCTGTGCGTACAAAAAGTTATTCTTATGCCGCACTTTTTGCACATGGTAGAACAGTTCGTGATGTGCAAAGATTCGACACCACTTTGCAGCATCGTATTCGCATTTCTCTTTCATCGCTATATGAATTTCAAATTTTCAAGGCGAAACGGTTTGGTTCAATTAGAAATCCACTGTTAAACTTTACCCACGGGTAGCTTTTCGATATATAATTAAATTTGACAATAGTTTTTATTTAGAATCGTTTCTAGATAAATATTTCGATAATATCTGATAATTCGTGAAATAACCTTACCGTTATCGTTTGTTTGTACCTGCGAGATGAAAGAGATCTCGTTTGGGGTACCGTTACGGATCGAATTAATTATTTCATGGTTGCACGTTTTCGCTGCGTGCGGTCACGTTAGTGACCGACGTGGATGTCCTTAACAGGATGTCGCTCCTACTAAGGTTAACACGTGGACCGGAAACGGTAACCTGTTTCTCTTTGGTAAGGTGAATTCGCCAATGAAGCTCAATCGTGGCCGCGCGAACGTACCAGAAATATTACGCAACGACGCCGACGCTCGGCGGCGGCTTTTACGAATTGTCGCGCGGCGTTGTTCGACTAATTTTAGCATGTGAAAGTCGCCGTGCGATCCCACGCCGCTAAACTAGACCCACCGATCGGCCAACGTGCGCCTAGTCATGTCGGTGCTTTAATCATTTGTCTCGCCATAGTCCAACCCGTGCGACACTGACCGCTTTAGTTTGCCCTTATTCGGCTCGATCTTCCGACGCTGCTACTATCAGCTGATTACTGTTATTATCCCATTGAAGTCGCGTCAGCGAACATCTTCGCAGACCCATTTTTCTCAAGGCTCTCGCGACCCGTGGTTTCTTCGAGCTGGAAGCGCGACTTTTATCAATCGAGATTAAATAATGCCTTTTCGAGAATCACACTTTCACGTGCTTCGATCGCGAAGATTGTGGCTTTGGGTAGCGAGAAGGAAAGATTTAATTGCGTAATTCGATACAGAGTTCCTGTTGTACTTACTTGGTGCATCCACCAACTATCACCATTCGACAGTTCCTTGTAAAGTCACGTAACGCGGAGGATACCCGACAGCATCGAAGTGTGGGACACGTGTCCTCATGGATATCCGCCGTACGTTAACGCGCAAAATCAGCTGTTGGTTCGCAGTGGCAATTACGAGTCACCACGCAGCACTCGAGATTCTTGTTCCGACAGACACACATGCTCGTTGTGTGCTCACCTTTACCGCTCTCGTAAACGCACCTTTAGCGGTCAACAATCGTAGAAATTCTTTATGCGTCGTAACCACGGTCGTTACCCTCGATATAAGGTCATTAGTGTGTGTTTTAGCGACCGCTGTTTTTCTCACGAACGATGCAGGTTCTTTTGGCGCGAATCGACGACTTTCACTGATTCCTGGAAAGGATTTCCGCGTGTTAGGTTCAGGGATCCCAGTTGACCACATCTCGCACGACTTAACCTTTGCCTGATTTACTTCCAACTATCTTTCGTATTCGAAACGAAAAAGTAATCGAATTAGCAGTATCGTGTAAAGTATCTGCGAAATTCTTCCTCTTTTCGAGTTCCACGAAGAAACTTTTTATCGGTATTGAATTGCATGAACTTGCACTATTTGTGGTGGAAAAACAGTGTTATTCGTAGAGCGATTATTGGCCGGTATCTTGTTATGATAAATAGACTTGTAAAAAGGATGCAAAAAAAGGCAATGATCGGCTAATAAAAGCAATTTACTGCTTTATCAAATTAATGCCAGGTAAATACAACGAAGGCTCGACACTGTTCTTCCGTGCTGCACCGTGCGCTTTATTTTTGTTCCTGATTGTGCGACTCGTTAATAAATGAAGCAGGTAGTCTGTAAAATTTTTAATTGAAGTTTAATGCCTGCTGTGAACAGGCACGTACTATAATCGTCGGACTCGTTCACGTGCACGTTGCATCGCGGGTGTGCGCGTACTTTCGCAATGCGATATTTCGCGAACCAGTCCTCGGGCCACATGGTTCAATTCCCACGCATTTCTCTTAAGGAGATCGCTCCGTCCCTTTTGTTCTTACGCTTGATCCCCTTCCGTCGCTGCTGGTCCTCCTCTCCCGTTTTCTCCCTTTTTTATTCTCCTTTTCCTTGCATTCGGCCTCGCCTGCCTCCGTCTTCAGCTCGGTCCCTTCTTTCTTGACACTCGCCCGACGAAGGCCAACGAATTTTGCGAAGCCCTGGCCCACTAAGAAGCATTCTCCGTCGTACCGCCTCTTTGGTGGCTCCCCTTCGCTGCGCCGCGAATATTAACGAGACCGATCTCCAAATACGAACCATCCCGCTCCTTTTTGCCTCTCTGCTCGTTACAGCATCCACTCGGTGGCCAGGGCGACTTCTTATTAATCGATCACGCGACGCTCGCGGGTAATTTCGATTCTAGGAACGAAAAGGAACTCGAAAGTAAAAACGAAAACTTCGTAGAAACGCAGTTTACGGAGCGCCGATAATGCAACTATTTTTTGGCTCGGGTGTGAAACTATTTTGGAGCTGAGAATCTTTAAAAAAAATTGCATAGTGGAAAATCTGCGAAACAGTAACAGATAAATCGCCTTCCATGGAAACAAATCAATTTCTGAAACGAACTTTACTTTCCAGAACGAACACGCAACGTCCGAGATAAATAATTGGTATTTTCATATTCCAAACCGTGCACCTTTCACGTCGAACGGTGGGAGTTGAATTATCCGTATTGATAGCGTTATCGTCGCCAGCACCTAGAGGGGCTACGCGAACCGAGTGCCGTGTCTTTCGTAGCTGCAGCGTATTGACAAAGAAGCAAAAGGAGCGCAAATGAGCACAGACGCCTCGACCCATTTTCATTTAGCGCTCGCCAGACAAAAATAAAAATAAACCGCGCCTCTCTTCGGTGCGCCTTTTAACGAAACTTGGATCGGACCTACTCCGTTGCGTGGGTAGGGGTTGTTTCGCACGCATAATCGTGCTTTTGCCCGGTACGAGATCGTTTTCTGATACTCCGCGCGACACTTTTCAACGTCCTTCTAGGCTGTTTAATTAAACATTTCTACTTAACCCATTTGCGTCGCACGGAGAAGTGGAAGATTCGTTCTTGTCACCAATATTTCACTTCAATTCCTAACGATGGAAATGGGTTAAATGTGCTCCGTTCCTTTGAAAGATAGTTCGATTCTTCGATAAAGGGTAAAGTTTCTCGTAATGTCTGCGTGATTAATTGCAATAAACTGTTTATATGATCGTCCAGTCGTTATTGTTTATCCTTAATTTCGATCGTGCCGCAGCTCGTGCATCCGGTTCTTGTAATAATTTTAATTGGTCCCTTCCACGATAACATCGTTCGCTGCTGGTTTCTTACTTGTAATTGCACACTCATCGATGAGATTATAATTACACACACGACGAGATATTGAGCAACGACTTGGATCGTGGGTCGCTTTCATTGAGTCAAGGATCACGGATACTATATCGAACAACATTGACGATTGCATTCGTTTCCATGAATTCTTAGCGTCGTTTCTCGAGGTTACGTCGTATCTCTTCGTGTCTGGTGTCCCTCTTCTCTGTGTGGGCTATGCGAGGCTGTGTCCCACGTTATCGTTATTTTTACGCGTGTAGAACCTTCTTCGATCGTGAATATTTTTATTTTTCCGCTTCCTTTTTAGTTGTAGAATTCTGGCTCTTTTTAAGAATTCCTGTTTTGTAAAAATAAGTAAAACGGTTTCATCGATGAAGTTTCTCTTCGCCGCGGTTCTTCCTCTGGATCTTGGCATACGTGCGCGTTTCAGCTCGGTAGGTAAGGACGCGAGTAGCCCAGACATCACGTGCTTTGCCCGGCGGGCTCGCCTTGCTCCCCTTCAGGCCACTTCGTGCCCATGGTAATACGTACTACCACGAAACACGAAGAGTAATAACCGACTTCGCGCCGCTGCCAACGTCGCGTACTCTAATCTTTTTTTTCACCACTCATTTTTCGCATGTACTCGTACTATTTGTGAATGTCAATGCTTTCGAGCAGTGTTTCTCCGACCAATCCTCCGGATCGTTCTTCAAGTTTGAAATAATTCTTTTGTAAGGCATATTTACGTTTAAAATGGAGAGAAAGAATACGATATATATTACAGAATCTTTCGTTTCGTTATTTAGTATAGTAGGTACTCTTCTTTCTTTTGAAGATGTGAGTCTTCGTGTGAGAAACACTGCTTCGCGTCGCAGCTAATTGAAAAGCCTGCACGTGTCTCTTTTTTTTTTTTCTCGTTTACACTGCATATATTTGCAACACAACATCGAATAGCGCGAAACGGCACGTTTTACTGAAAATCCGGTAGTCGACGTCGTTTCCATATTACGTACAGAGCATACGTATTAGGTAGAAACTTAACTGGCTAAGTGGACCACGCGAAAACGCGTCACAAAAAATTAATCAGATTATTTGGTTTTATTTTATTTTAATTATAAACGAAATACGCTTAGTATATTCTCGATTCAGCGATAGTCGAAATTTGAATTTAAATTAGTCGTTCCAATCGCTATCACTATTATCAATTGGAGCAAGCAGCAAGTATAATTTACACGAAGGCATTACTCCTAAATTATCGTGCACTTCTCCGTTAAAATTTTTGCTCATATTTGTGGATGGTCGAAGTGGCTCGCTCCAATTGGTTCCTCTCGTAGTTGGTTCCGCTGAACGCAACGCAAAACGTATGGGCCCCGGAGCATCTGGGTCATTTTGCTCTCCTCTCCGCGTCTCCCTTGCCCATTTCTTCGGACCCTGTTCGTCCCTTTGTCTCGGGCTTCCCTACGGTCCCTCCTTCTGGTTAGGCCGACCGACAAAGGTCTCGGGCCCCGGTTATACCTGCCGTGCACCACGCCGATACAGCCGTTGCTTTCTACAAGGTGTCTCAAGCGGACAGAAGAGAAAGTTGCTGCACGAACCTTCGACGTGAACGAGAGCCGCGAGCGAACCCGACGGATTATTTTGTTTCGTCTTGGATTGAATTTCGTTTCGCAGTTTCTAATTACACGCCGCGTCACGAGCACCGGGGGGAAAAGACTTTTCTTTGTAGAAACGGTTAAAACGTGCCTGGACGCGCCACATAATCGCGCCAAAATAACGCACGAAGATTTGAAACACAACTCCTTCGAATCTTGTATTTTTATTTTAGTCGATTCAAGTCTTATTGCACTGTTATGCGAGGTCTTTGAATCTTACTTTTTTTTTTTTTTTTTATTTTAGTTGTTTGAAGTCTTATTGCACTGTTATGCGAGGTGTGCGTGTGTCGAGTCTTGCGCTGATAGACTTTCAAGGATAACTTAGCGTTCTCAAGCCTAATCTCGTTCGATAAGTGTGCGCGTTAACTTGTCCAGGAATTATCACTAGGATTATCCAGGATTATAATTAGAGAGTATAGATTCTTCGACTTTCTCGCGAGGCCACTCCTCAGTGAATACCTATTATCGAAATTCTCTAAAAGGATTTCTTATGCGTGATAAACATAAGTACAAGTTGTCGAGATGAGTCACGGGCACAATATTACCTATTATGCACGAGGTGCTTCAGATAAGAGGCAGTTGTACGGAATAACCTGAAAGACAACAAACACCTGATGGGTTTCAGATGTAGGTTTACCTTGCTACACACTTCTAAATAATCTTAAAGTAGATCACGGCATAATAGGATAAGAGGCTGTTGTATATGCGCTAGACTCTTATCCAGATTACCTTATGCTATCGATGAACGTATAACAAAATATTTCATTCTCCAAGCATACCATAAACAGTAATTCTCGAAGCTTCTAAAGAAGACGTCATCTCTCGTAAATCTCCCAAAATGAAATTAGGGAAATCGAGTAGCTGGCCAAATCGCTTCACCAAAACGACTGTGAAAGTTACGGGCATCCTTCTCGTTCGGAAGTTGGCTTCCGAATCCTCGCGACTTTGATTAGAGAAAGTTTCTCACGGTGATCTTACCCAGGCGTTTCGTTTATCGCAAACCTAAACGGTTCATTCGTTAGACTTAATTCCTAGCGCGGCCCCTTTTTAACGTTAAGCGTACTCAGCGCGTCACCGACGTCGGAAGCGCACTTTTACAGGGAATATCGCGTCGTTCCCTCGGTTTTTAGTACCCGCGTGAAAACACGTTGCATCGTAACGAAAGTATACTGCGTATTTCTGTGCCTGCGGTGAAGTTATAACGCAGGCCGTTATACGAGACTGCGGCTTCGGATTTCCTTCTGCATTCCTATCCTAGGTGACGAAGCCGCGTGCATATTCCTGCCAAACGACACGCTTCGAAACTACAAGGACGGGAGACACTCGAGAATCGCAATTATATTACGATCGCGGCGTTAATTTATTTACACACAAGACTCACTCGATCGCGTGTACTGTTAACCACTGTAAACAAGCGAACTAAAGCCAAGAGAGGCTTAACGCGAGAACGATTTATATTTACAAGGGTAACGTACTTGGAGCACGTTCGCTGCCAGATTAACACTCGTGAAAATTTCTAAGATTTGACAATTGTGAAAATTAGATAATTTGATATTTCTTTTAGTACTTAATTTTTTAACCCCGTAAGATTCACGAAATCCATATCACGAAAACATAGGAAAAATTCGTTTAAATATATTCCCAAATGTATAGTTCAGCTACGGTAATACGTCTCTGGATAATAGTACACGACAATTACGCCAGAAGAAACATAAATCAGTACCGAATGACGTGTACTCGAGCACGAACTAATTACCGTGCAACCAATTTGACGACAAAGTATACATGCATAATTGGCCGTTAAGTGAAAAAGCACCGACGACAGCGATTACTCCGAATGAAGAATGAGTTCTTCTAAAGGCAGCATTGAGGTGAAACTTTTGTCTCGGAAATATATTCATACGGCTTCGGGATAATTAAGTGCAATTATTCGAAAGAATAAATATGAAATCCGAGGAACATTATCAGGTTCTGGGTTGAGACAGCGTTGGGCAGTCGGCCAGGTTGCCTTTGTCGTTCCCGTATTCGCCTACTCGCGGGTATGGCAGGTAATATCAAATTCTCGTATTCGTGTGCCAGTGAACCGGGCTGCCCGTTAGATTGCATGCTAATAATAACCGGTTTGATAACCGCTGGATGGACGAACGACCGAAGTTTAACGCCTATCAATTTTTCATCTTTGTTATTGGGGGGGGGGGGGGGGGGGGGGGGGGGGGGGGGGGGGGGGG